CTTCCCTCGTGGCTTCTCCTCTCCCTTCAGTCCGTCGTTCTAAGCAGGAAACCTTGCCCCGCAGGCCCCTGAGCTGGTAGATCACCAGGCTAGCCCCGCGGTGTCTTTATTTTGCCTTCTTTTTAAAAGGTTTCCTGTCCGTGGTGGAACCAAGTTGCCCTGCAGGCCGTGGTTCTCCAACTGGGGTCCCGAGATCTCCTTGGACTGCGATTCCCAGAAATCCTGGCCAGCACAGCGGGCATTTTGTGTCACTCAGCCTCCTTCAAAGGGGCCGAGGCGCTTCGGGGCCGCTGCCATCCCACACCCGGCCTTCCCGGAGGGCTGGAGACCAAGGGCGCCCCGGGGCATGGGCAGAGTTTAGGCCAAGGGTGTGTGTGGGGGGGCTGGGCTCCAGGCCTGACCCCGCCGTGGCCGGGGAGGCGGCGGGGGCTCTTTCCTTCTGCGCCCCCACCCCACCCCATGGCTGGGCTCGCACACACGCACGCACGCACGCACGAGCACGGAGTGGAATTATCAATCAGGGCTTGTTTGCAGCTTGTTAAGGCATTTTGTGTCACCCAGCCTCCTTCAAATGTGGATGGCTGTAGCAGAAGCTGCCTGAAACAAGTTGCAAAGAAGAGCTGCTTTGCAATTTCCTCTCCTCGCTCTATTGATTCCTGTCTGGTTGGCTAAAAACTGAATTCACTTGAGGACACCCGGCCTACGCTGGTGATTCACTTCAGATGAAAGTGCAGCAGAACCTTTTTTTTCCTGCTGTATAGTCTTACCCATCCTCTGTGTGCTGTACGCCTAGAACATGGAGACTCCGTTCAGCTGTTACAGATAGAGCTGTAATGTTCACTAAGTTTGTTTACATTTTCTCAAAGGACAACAGCATTGTTTTGCCCCTCAGCTTGCAATTGTAGCTGATAATGCTGCCCAGAAACACAAAGCAAGGGAAATTCTCATGCTTTTAGTTTCATAAGTTAAGTCGGGTTGTTTTTAAAAAAGGAAAGGTTTGAAGGCTTTTCTACTCTTAATATTTTAATAAGGAAAGAAATCCAGGGAGCACTTGAGTGATTTTCATGAACAAAATCTTACCACCTTTGGCAAAGGAATAATTGTCTGTCATCAATTTGAATGGAGGACAAATTTCCCTGGTTTTTCTTGTACATACTGGGGTTTCCTCGTTCCTCTTCCTGAAGGTGCTATGAAACTACTGTGCAACCTGCCCAAGGCCACACAGGTGGCAAGGCATGTAACCCTCTTGGCCACACACACTCCAGGTGATCTCAGTTACTCTCCAGGTGGATTTGAACTCCCAGTCCCTGCGGCACTCCAACCCACTGAGCTGTACTAGCTTTTAGTAAGGATGAAACTGCAATTTAAATGGAAGTGAACCCATGCATGAAAGCTCACATGAAAAACAGCAGTTAAGTCTCTAAAGTGGCGCAATGTTTTTGTCTTATTTTTTATTTTTATTATTTTTTGCATGATATTCTATTTATTTATTTATTTATTTGATTTATTTGATTTATATCCCGCCCATCTGGTCTGGTCGACCACTCTGGGCGGCTAGTCTTCTAGCACAGACTAACATGCCCACTTCTTCTAAACTGCAGTTTGAATAATTATTTAGTTCTAAATTGATGTGATAATCCTTCATCTGATCATAACTTAGGAAGCCGGAGCCTTGGGTTGAAAGTAAACTGATGGTAGCAGGGCTGTTAACAAAATGGCCTTCTGCAGGTCACTCATTTGTAGGTTCTCCTGAAGGTGGAGGTGATTTGTTGGCACATGAAGAGGACAACACAATGGCAGCCAACCCAAAAGCTGCCTTCCGCTGTGTCAGACCATTGGCTCTATCCAACCAAAGCATGTTGGCACCAACTGGCAGTAATGGCTCTTTGGGGCTGCCCCCCATCACTGGAGATATTGGGGGCAGAATCCGTGGAGGGCTTTCTGCAAAGAAAGCATTTGCTCTGCCTCATAAGCTACAGGGCAAATCATTTTGCAAATATTCTGAAAAATATCCCTAGGAAGCATGAGTTAAGTCAGCCTTTAGCACTTGCTTGTCTGAATCTTCAGTTTAAAAGATATTGATTTAAATCAGTCCACTCCGTTTGGTAAGGGAAAAGTCCTTCCTGTATATTTGTACATGTTTTCAGAGAGTGGTATTTGTTCCTGGTTTGATTTGATAGGAATGCCTGTAGCCAAGCTAAGAGCTATTTCTTCCCTGTTTATCATGTTGCTTGCTTATATGCCACTTTTCCACCTTTGTGCAATCGTCAGTGACTTTTTTGTCTTCAGGGAAATGTCTTAAATAGATCTGAGCTGACATCTGGCGCCCACATGCTGCAAGGAGCAGAATAAACAAGAGCAGCAAGCAGCTGGCTTGCATCAGTCCTGCTGAAACCCCTTCCGGCTGCTCTGTCCACAGCTGAATAAGTGCCCCAGTTTCATGCAATAATGTGACTTTAGATCAGTGGCTCCCAACCTTTTTCAAGTCATGGCCCCCTTTTTAATAGCCAGGTAACCTGTGACTTCCTTCCAGGTTTGCACAAAAAGGCATTTTTAATGGGGTCAAGTCATCTCTTCTCAGAAAGTAGAGACTTCTTTCTTCCCCAAAGGGCCTGTTTCTCATACACGCTAACTTTTAATATCTCACTCGAAAGGTCAAGGAAGACATTCTTGAATGAGGGTTACGACACATAAACAGATGACACATAACAGATGACCAAGGTTCTCTTTAAGATGCATGTTCCTTCTGCACAGCATTTCTCCTCCACATTCTGACAGCGACTGTTTTCAGCCCCTTGGGTTCTGATTGTGACAGGACCCCCGGGTGGGTGTTGCATGTGCATGTGGGGGCTGAAGTCCCACGCATGAGAGGCAAAGCCCTGTCCAGTGAGGCTGAAAATTGGAGGGAACGTTGCCCGTGACCCCTCAGAAAACACTTTGCAACCCCCTTAGAGGTCACGACCCCCATTTGGGAACCCCTGCTTTTGATTTTGCAGTATTCATTGCCTCCATTTTGCACATGCTCTCCATCCTGGGCAGGTTGGTATCGGACAAGGAGCCTGGTGAAGTTTAGCTCTCAGCAGTGGCTGGGGTGGGGAGGTATCACCCAAAGATTCTTTGCAGCTCGTTCAGTACTGGTCTCTTGGGAGAGGAGCACTGGTAGGG